TTTCCTAAATCTGCCAGCCAGAGGGCAATCATGCATGCATGTGAAAGCAGTAGCACCTCAATAAAACTTAGTCTTGCAGAGTACGGCACCGTGCGCAGGAATGATGGGGTTCCTTAAAAAGCCCCCCGATGCACATGCAGATATTCATACACATAGGGTGCATCTAGACCGGCAAGATTTTGTGCAAAAGCAGAAGCTTTTGTGCAAAATCTTGCCGTCTGTCTACACTGGCCGCGAATATTTGCACAAGAACACTGACTTTGTACTGTACAAAATCAGTGGTTCTTGCACAAATACTCCGACGCGCCCGCTCAGGGATAAGCCCTCTTGTGCAAGTATTCTTGCACAAGAGGGACAGTGTAGACAGCTACGTTAATTTCTTGAGCAAGAAAGCCCGATGGCTAAAATGGTCATCGGAGCTTTCTTGCGCAAGAGAGCGTCTATACTGGGCACGGATGCTTTTGCGCAAAAGCAAATCTTTTACACAAAGGCACATGCCAGTATAGACGCTCTCTTGCACAAATACTTTTAATGGAAAAACTTTTCCGTTAAAAGTATTTGCGCAAAATCATGCCAGTCTAGACGCAGCCATACTCTCTAGGATAATGCCTAGCTCTTAGCTAGTCTGTTTCTTCAGATCTCAAGCACTTTGCAAAGGAGGTCAGTATCATCATCATCCCCATGTTACAGGTGGGGAAACTGAGGCACAGAGCTGGGCAATGTCTTGCCCAAAGTCACATGGCAGAGCCAGGCACAGAAGCCAATTCAGGGCTCTTACTCACTGCAGCACACTGCCTCCCGTTGTAGCTATCGATGTGTGTCCATCTATACAAATAGACCTGGTCAACACACATCCAAAGGTTGTACACAGCATCCAATAAAAGAGATTGCTTCACTTGCCCTGTCTCTTCCATATCCAAGGGGGTATTTTATTTTTTAAAATGGCTTTTATTCTGAAACAATATTTGGGGCAAAAAATGGTCTATTTGGTCAGCTTTTGCAGGGGCGGGGGAGAGTCATGAAAAATGTGTCTTTTTTGAATGTTTCCTTTAAAGTTGGTGTTGAAAACTTTATCAAAATGCTTATCAACTCTTGTATATGCAAAGTTTTAACAATCATGTCAAACATTTCCAAGGAAAGTTTGGAAGGAAAAATGGGGGAGAAATGGCAATTTAAAAAACTGAGCAAATGAAAAATGGATCCATTTCAAATCCTTTGACACAAAATCAAGTTAGAAATCGTGAGACAAACAAGTTCACCAGTTTTGACTGGCTCTGCACACACACACAAACCTCTATGTATGAGAGAAAGACAGTGTGAGTGTGTGTGTGTGCGTGTGCGTGTGCGCGCACGCGTGTAAAATCTAGACATGCTGTTAACACCCAGTCTGTCTTTACACTCAGCAATGATGTAAAGATTATCCCAACAATGAAGGGGTGATCGTTAGAATTTGAACTTTCGATCACTGAAAATTGAAAATTTGCTGCCTATGTAAGGTTAAAAACTGGGACCAAACTTACAGGTTTTGAGTCGATGAATCGGACGCTGATATACAGAGATATGTCATGTCCTGAAACAGAAGGAAAGAGACATTACAATACCTTCAATACGTTTGTAACCAGAAATCTCCACCCTCTACAATCCTCTTACCCTTGGCCCCAGACTTTTTTGGCACCCTCACCAGCATGACACTGGTGAATTAGATGTCAACTTTTGTCAGGTCTGTGGGCGTCATCTGAGCTTTGACACATTTATAGCTGAAAACCAGACCAGCTCACTTCTATGTTAATATTGTTCAAGATAAACCTATAAGGATGAGTTTAGTTTCTATAAAATGCTCGTAAATTGCTGCCTGTGTTCATCTCACTTGGAGTGGCTGAATTCCATGCTGGCAGGTAAAACATGTTTGTTTTATAGCACTGTCAAAA